AACGCGCATCGAGACGGGTAAAGTTTAACCACACCTCGGAGCGCTTTCTCTCCGCCATCTCCTCCGTGTGTGTGTTGCTGCATGTAGCAGCTGCGTGTGTGTAAACTGCCCCGCCCCCTCGCACACAGACGGGGGAGAGAGATCTCTCGTCTGGATTGGAAAGATCGAAAATACAAAAAATAATCATAGACGCATTTTGCAGTCTTTTTGCGTATTAGAAACGGAGTTGGTGAAACTAAAACTGCAATATAATGTTTATGTAGCATAATACATATGTCTCCATTACCGATAAAAAGACCGATAACGTTGGAGCTTAACAGTACCACGGTCTTTAATAATTCAGCCCCGGGGCCCCTTTAATACCGGGGCCCGGTACCCCTCCCTCGTGTAGCGTGAGTAAATGAGACTAGATGCGTATTTCATAATGTCTCTAATGGGGATTGTTTGATAGCATTTGAATGTGTGTTTGTGTGCAGGCCAACGCAGCTGCTTTTGAAGCCTGCTGTAAAGAAAGGATACGCCAGTTTGACGACGCTGAGGACGAGGAGGACATCTGGGAGGAGAAGGAGATGAACTATGCAACACAAGCTAAATCCAGAACACGGTTCGATCTGTTTTCTAGTTTTTGGCACCAAGCATTTTTGGTCTTTTGTCCTCTCTCTCCACTCCTAACTCCTAACCGTTGTCCCTCTCAACAGGTTCGGGGTCTCCCAAACCTCAGAGGAAAGCTCCAGGGGCAGCATGGAGAACGGCGGCAGGGATCGGGACCACGGATCTGGATCTGATGATGAGGAGGAGGAGGAGGAGGAGGAGGAGCAGCCTGTGCAGAACGCGCAGAACACATCAGAGTCAGGTAGATCAGAACAGTGTCTTTCAACCTTTTTTTCAGTACATGTTTACATTAAAAAAAAAAGGTCCGTGGCGCACCAACAACTGAAAAAGTTACTACGTGACACATCGTAGCCGAATACAGCATTTATATATAAGGATACTTTGATGAAAGTCTCTCAATTAGTCTAACAGTTTAGCTCCTAAGTCGCTAGCTTTGATAGCTCTCTCTCTCTTTGAGAAAACAGGTCACTTTTATGAGAATCCTTTCCGGGGAAAAACAGTCCATGTTCTAGTTATGAAGCGACAGGTGTTTCGTTTGGAGATGATGTTTAAGCTAGCGTGGGAAAATGACGCTGTTGGATTTTATTTGCAAGAACTAAATAATATCTTTTTGGATCAATTAAGGGAAATTGGGCAAGATGCTAATGGAACATTTCCACTGCAGCGCGTAGCACGGTTTAAGTGTACTGTGCCAAACCCGGCCCGTTTTTGGTTGCGTTTCCACTAGGTGGTGGTTCCGGCTAACGGGTACTTTTTCACAGTTTTTCTGGCTCTCCAAAATCGCGGTTCCTTCCGGGCCAACAATATTTGCCGGAGTATGCTAAACTCGTGATGCTACAACTACAACAAGATGAACATATTTGACCGTGATTTAATTTTAATACACGTTTCTAAATGATGCCGAAGTAACAACATACTGATACCGGTTAGTAAAAACCATGAATTAATGCTTTGACAAGTCTGCAGACAGACGGCAGGCGGAACACCTTTTAAAATGCTTGTTTTCTGAATGGAGATCGGCTAAGCTAACGCAGTATATGCTCCGACCGTCCACACTCACACACAACGGCCTACAGACATAAACAAACCAGCGACTGTATTCTCCATGACACAGAAATTCTGTGGTTTGTACTTGTTTAACTTTTGTCTAGTTTCTGAACAGATATGAGGAGCTGTGAGCTCTGAGGGCTAACAGCTAACGGCTGATGTTGGTTTTGTGGTTCTCATTGAAGATGACGTCACAGCTCCGCCTACACTGCGTTACTATAGTTACTGCCCCAGCTGCTAAACTGTAATGGAAACGCAGCATACAGTGAGCCTGGCCTACCAAGGCCTCAACGAGGCCTGGCCATACCGAGCGAGGCCCTGTAGTGGAAATGCGCCATTAGAGTCAAACTACTAGCTTATTGGTTATGAACAAGACTTCACTTTAA